TTACAGACTGACTTCACTTCAATTCGTTTGACCTGCTCTTCTCAACTTGCACCCATTTGTGTCTACACATTCCATAGTTTTGGACATCGTAGAGTGAAATACTGATCTGAACGAGCCGAGAACGAGGGAGCCTCAAAGTTTATGTTTTTTAGAGAGATGAACTCATTATAGCCCACGGAGGGAGTACTAGGCGGACATGGCCCATCGGCAAAATCTTCAATTTCTTTCCCGCCGGCAGTATCCCAGTCTCCTTCGCTTCGCTCCGTGATTGGGAATTGTTTGATCTTCTCTGAGGAAGAGGCTAAATAGAATCAACTTGAATTCGGGTAACATTCACGAAAAGAACTGTTTGCAAGCCTTTTCCCCTTACTCCAGCAAGAAATTTGTGGAACTAATCATGCCTTTATGCGTGCCCCCGGAAACATAGGCCGACTGCTGCAAGGAGAGGGACCGAAAACAATTATGACAGAGCAACTCAATTACATCGATCCTGAGGCAATAAGCTACCTCTGGGACGACGCCTTTCCATATGGAGTTCTTTTTGAAAGGCTTGCTCACTTCTTCTGGATTGGATCCCCCCTGATTCACTTCTCCCAAGGGCAAAAGATCATTTTAAGAGAAAAAAACAAGACCTGATCCCGCGCCACCTTAGCCAAGACGTACGACCGTGAGAATTCCTTTGTCCCAATAGGTATAGTCATTGGTAATCGCTATACCCCTGAGCCTACCTTTGGGCTTTCTCTGGCGTTCTAGTAGGCAGCTATGAGTAGGCAGCCGGACTAGGGTCTTCATTGATCACTGGAGCAAATAGTTGATTCACTAGTTAGAGCTAGAAAAGCGTAGTTTTTTTCTTCCTTATGGCTTATCACCCGTGGTACTATCCAAGAATGCGCGAAGAAAAGAGCTGCGGAATTTGCATCCTTTTATCTCTCCTTTAAGGGACTTTTAGGATATCTGTCATCGAACCCAACAAACTTTTCGAAGCGAAGTGAAGTCCTGGAGGAACTGCCTTTATTCTCTAAGAAGTAATTCCTTCCCAGCATTTCATGTTGCAGTAACACACATTCCTTACGCAACTTTCTAACCTCTACTAGAAATAGATCCTTTCTTAAATCAATGTGCTTTGGACAAAGTCTGGTTCGTAGAAAGATCTGTCGTGAAAAATGTAATAACGGAAAAACATCTGCAATTGAATCCGGGGTAGGAAGCAACTTATGAAAAGGTCGGCACAAATAGCCCCATGGGGAAGGGATGAATACGAGCTGTCGGAAGAGCTGCTCTCGTAGAGAATCAAGGGCTTGAAAAGAATTAAAGATTCTCCACGCGCGACAAGAAGGAGGGGAATGGTTTCCCCCCTATTATTTTGAGATACAATATACAAAAAATAAAATACAAATAAAAAATTATAAAGATTTAAAAATAAAAAGAATACATATTTATGACAATTATTATATGAATTGAATAAGAAAAAAGTAATGAAAGAGAGATTTAAGTATGCGAGGCAACGAATTTATGGTAATGAAAGAGATATTTACGGGAGACAATAATGTAAGATGAAATAATTATTTATGTTTGATTCCAAACCAATTTTGTTTCATAAATTTTTATCCGAACCTAAATACAAAGCATGGTATTTTAACACGTATTATTCCAAAACGTCAAAACGTGCGAGCCTGACACTTAGACTCAGCACGTTTTGAATTAATATATATTGGGGATATTCCATATAGAGTAAAAATTTGATAACAACCATTAGAGACAAAAGTTAAATTTTACTCTTGAGTAGGATAATCTATACACAAAAGTAGAGATACGGATTGAAAATGGTCTTAAGCTCTCTTTAAGCTTGCTTTATATATTTAGCTCTCAACTTTAATTTTTATTTTCTCTACAAAAAAATGCTGAACTTTTATGGTCATGGAGATGTTTTTAGTTCTTGAACTCTCAAGAATAAATGTGTAATACCACTTTCCTAAAATCGGCTTATGCAACCGCCTAGGCGCTAGGCGTCGCCCAACCGTCTCGGATATGTATGAATCAACTGACAAAATCGGTCAGGTGGCTAGGCAACATCTAAGCGGGCTCAACAACAATTTTTTTAAGTTTTTTTAAATACTAATTACATTATTTTGTTATCATATTTTCTTTATACTATATTAGTAATATTATTTAGACTTAAATGTGTGGATCTATTATAAGTTGAGATAATTTTATTTTGTATGTAGTGAAAATAAATAAAAAAATAAAGTATTTAATCTTAATTTTGAAGCACCACCTAGGCGCTCCATGTTGGTCGAGCACCTAGTGGACGCCTAACAACTTCTAGAAACACTGTGTAATGCCGAGCGAAAGGCAAGTTTTGTCGGATTTGGTACCATCTTTAGCAGTGATCATTCCTCAACGAGTATACTTTTGACCAAAGAAATGAATTGTTTCAAGCTTTAGGACAACGCAAGAAACTATTTGTGATCGGCGCATTACTACTAGTTACAGGGGCGGATCTAGAAAAAACTTTTCGGGGAGACTAGAGCGGTTAATCGGATAAAATTGTCTGCGAACACAACTCGGTCTAATTAGCAAACAGTCGAACTCAACTTGTTCTTATACTTAAACGAACTAATCTTGGACACTAAATCGAATTTGTGCATTAACTGAATTGTGTCTTACTTGTTTAGTAAATGAGTCAAGTCGAGTGACTCATTTATTAATCAAACATGAACTTGAACATGAGATATTTTAGCTTGACTCGACTTGATAATAGCTTTAGAGATGATATATAATTTTTATAACACACACACATGAATACAATTTCAATTATATTAAATTGATAAAATAAATAATAATAATATTATACAAAAAATATACTTTATGGACGTTGGTATTGTAAAATTGTGTTTGATATTATTTCATTTCACGAGATTCATTAACAATTGATTTAGTGTTAGTGTTAATAGTTCTTGCAATTACTTTTTGATCTCGTAAAATTGCATATCTTGCATGCTCTGATATTTCAATTTTTTATTTTGAGATGCCGCATATCTCATACATTCAATTTTATTAAATCTTATATAACAAAGAAGAAACAAAAAATATTATAGATGGAAAGTGAAAGTTTACTAACAAAATATAACGTATTTAGAAATGATTAATAGACAGAGCAATACAATTATTTGTAATAATTATGGAATGTGGGTATAAAATAATTATACTTATAATATATATTTATGTTGTAATGGATAATAATTGGTAATATGCTTACAATATGTATATATATACGTAGTAAATAATTAAAATTTTTTTTTGAGGGGGTGGGGGAAGGAAATAGCCCCTCTATCCAAAACATGGATCCGTCCTGACTAGTTAATGGAGAAAAGTTGAGAAAAATTATAAAATTTTAATTAGCTATACTTGAACAGTAGTTATAGTTTTATATTTAGTTCAAGAAGTCTATGTAGTTTGATAGACGTAGAGCTATTATTTAAGTCGAGTTGTTACTTCACACATCAATTCAACTTGTAAAAGATCAAGTTCACTTCATTCATATACTTAAACAAGCATATTTATTAAGCATGTTGAGCGTATACGCGAACAATACAAATAGGACTTTGGGATCAGAATTTTAGTTTTAAACTTTATTAATAAGTCAACTTGAGATTATATGAGTTGAGTTTGAGCTCATGTTTTTATTTATTTATCAAAACGAGCTAAATTGAGTTAGCTCATTTATTCGAACATGAGATATTCTGACTTGAATAATTCTCTTAGGCAGACCCATGTAAAAAGAAAAAAAAAAAAAACATATTCTTAAACATTTAATGTAAATTGCACGAATTGCACAATTGAAATGAATGAGAACATAAGTATGAAAAATGCGCTTGCTGGTTTTGTAAAATTAAAATACTAATTGTTATAGTTTTTGATAGGTTTTTATATGGAGGTTACTCATTTTTTACACAAACTCGTGAATTATATTAATCCCTCTCCTATACATTGGACAAACTTAGGGAGTATATTCAATTAGGATATCTAAATACTTTTTAAGACTTTATAAATTTTGGTCTATTCAATTTAGATTAGTTAAGACTTTTAAAACTCCTAGGGTATTCAATTGAGATTTTAAAAAGTCTTACAAAATTTTCAATATAATTTGTTAATAAAATTTTTTAAACAAAAAAATAAAATAAAATAAAATCATATACGAAATCTCACTTCAAACCATATCTCCATACTTAAAGATTTTATAGAATTCTTCCAAAATATGAAAGTTTTAAAAAAAGTCTCAAATTTTAAAAAAGTCTTAAATGTTAATTAAAATCCCAATTAAATACACTCTAGTCGATTCATGTTCTTTTTTTATTTTAAACTTATGGAGATCATTTGTCATCGCTTTTGTATTAAAAATCAAAACACAAAGTAATTGATATATTATATATCCATAAGTAATACAATTAACACGAATTATTATTAATGTTGTCTTGAACAATATATTAACCATAACAATTCTTTAGGCTATGTTTGGTAGACAAATAAACTAGCTTACAGTTTATTTGGTTAGCTTATAAACTCACTGTATTCAAATAAGTCTTGTTTGGTAGGACGAACTTTTTTAAAAAGTTCGAGTTTATTTAATAAGCTTCTTTAGGTAGCCTTTCAAAAAAGCTAGTTGATTTTTTTTTTTATTCCACCTAGGTTATCAGCTAATTTTACTAATAACCACTTTAATCATATAAACTAGCTTTTCAGCTATAAATCATAAGTTATAAGTTACAAGCTCGAAAAAATAAGCTATAGCTAGCTTATGTTTATCAGCTAGTTTTATCAATTATAGTCGTAACCAAAATAAAATTTTGGTCTCCCATGAACCCAAGGGCTTGTCCTAGACCAAGTACTGATTATCCATGTTGTGAACAAGAAACAAAAGATAATATGTGACTAATAAATAATTAATTGTGATTTCATCGTCATCCACACCACAAACCACAACCTTGTAGATGTAATACCTAATAAGATTCGTTATTCAGATCGCCGAGGAGGTCGTGCGATTCAACATAATCTATTATACAGACAACAAATTAAAACAGTTCCAAAGTTGTTTATTTTAGGGAAAAAAAAAAAGGGAAAATAAATATATAAAGAAGCGGGTAATTAAATCAGAGGATAATACAGTGGGACTGGGACGAGGGCTTTGATGAATCGGCGGCGGAATCGACGCCGGGCCATGGCTTGCAGTGGCAGTGTTGACCATCGGGAATTCCTTTGTGCACCGCCGCCACGTGGCGGCCGCAGCCCTCCCAGCTTTTCTTGCTGCAATTCCCACACTTGACTTCGTAACACATTTTTTTCTTTGCCCCCTCTGTTTCCTTGTTGTTTTCTTTATAGACGAATTATACTTTGGTTTTTCGGGTTAGACGAATTTACAGGCGTATGAAAATTGAGGAGCGTTGGGTAAATCAGATTTTGACGACACCGTGTGCTCTCAAATAGGGTTGTAAACGAATCGAATCAAAGCGAATACCCAGAGATTCGATTCGATTCGTTTAAAATATTCGAAGATTCGATTCGTGATTCGATTCGATAACGAATTCATTTTTTGATTCGTATTCGATTCGTTTAGAATATTCGAATATATTCGATTCGATTCGAAATTCGTTTTCAAAAAATTATTATAATTACAAAAATAAATTTTATTTTTCATATATTTTTTAGAAAATTTTGTCAATTTATGATGTTTTTACTTTTGATGTCACAAAAATAATAGGAATATAACAATATATATATATATACATATATTATAAACAAAATGTATATTATATATAATTTGTATAAAAATATTATAATTACAAAAATAAATTTTATTTTCCATATATTTTTAGAAAAAATTGTTTATTTATGATGTTTTACTTTTTATGTCATAAAACTATTAGGAATATAACAATATATATATATATATATACATATATTATAAACAAAATGTATATTATGTATAATTTGTAAAATTTATATAATTATTGTTAACGAATCGAATATTCGAATTTCAAATCGAATATCTACACATTCGAATTCGAATTCGTTATAATTTCGAATCTAAAACATCATTCGAATTCGAATCACAAATCGAATAAAAAATGTTTGATTTGTTACAACCCTACTCTCAAGTCTCGATATATGTTTTGATGACGAGCAGTAGGTAGAGTCGAGTATTGATCTTATCGAGCAGAATTGAGTTTTTTTTTTTAGTTGCTCGAGCTCGAGCTCGACTCGATAAAATATTACAACAGCTCGAGCTCGACTCGAGTTCGACTCGAAATCAAAATGCTCGAATTCGGCTCGAAAATTTTTAAGTGGAAAGATAAAATTAACATTAAGCACCTATGCTAATATATATATATAATAAGGGGTATTTCAGTAATTTACGTGTATCTCGAGTCGCTCGACGAGGTAAAATATGGGTTCGAGCTCGACTCAAGTTCGTGCTCGAGCCGCTCGAGCTCGAGTCGAGATAGTGCAAACCACTACTTACCATATAAATTTTCTAAAAAGAAAAAAAAAAAAGCGAGAGAGATTTCTCTGCTCACAAATCTCGATCGGTGTTCTTTTTTTCCACCATTTTGAAAAAGAGATAAAAAAAGAAATAAAAAATAAAAATCCTAACAATATTCACCCCATAGTTTCGTTAATGGCCAAGAGTATACCACTACATGCCAAGAACCACCTCTCCCTATTCTTCGCGAGAGCTCAATTGCCGGATTGTTGTGAACCACATGAATTTCTACTCGATGTAGGATTGTTGTCAGGGGAAGGCCAAAAATACGACGAGAAGGGCGGCTATGCAGGCCAGGCGCAGGCCAATCGGATGTTCTCTGCCGGGTCGGGGACCTGAATAGAAGGGGAAAAATGGGAAGGATGTCTCATGTGTTTATCGTGTTTCAGAATTGTTTATATGTTGTTTATTTTATGTATAACTACATTGCGTTTTGGATTTTGCAGTCATTCAAAATTGTTTATTATATTTTTTTGTCATTTCAGAATTGTTTATATGTTGTTTATCTTATGTATAACTTCACGGTTAATATAAGAGAACTGATCGATCATGTTTATATGATGTATATATACAGTATATCTAAACATATACTTGGTGATTATTAGGCAGTATATTTGGTGATGATTTAAACTGCAACTCATGTAATATGAAAACAAAAAAAAACAAAATTAAACATAAACACACACAAAAAAAAATGCATATTACCTTGATGATTTCAATAATAATAATAAAAAAAACGTCCACTTTAGTAGCAATATTTGATTTGTTCCAATCGTTTTTTTTTTTT